ACAACAACAACAACAACAACAACAACAACAACAACAACAATAATAATAATAATAATAATAATAATAATAATAATAATAATAATATAGATGAAAGACCTTTTCAAGAACTTGGTACCTGGAGGTCACCTAATTCTGGAAAATTAGAATATGTAAATATATTGATAAGATCTAAATCTTTGCAAAAGTATACAGCACCATGATTAGGCTAGCTAATCAAACTGTTAACATCTATGGAAATATTTTTAATTGCTACTACATGGTTTAGAATTTTGTATATATTTTGTATAATATCTAGAATTGGCAACAGTATCTTTTTTTTTTAAATTTACCCAGGCTGTTTTGGCTGCCATTGTACTCGTCAACATGTTCCCATTTCTTGAAAAATTTTTGGACATCCCTTACCTGTGGGAACAAGATAAATATGATTTTGTAAGTTTTGCATGATCTATGTAACTATGCTAGAGAATCAGATTAAACCAGGTAGCATGCCATTGAACAGAGCCAGTATGTCAAATACCCCGGTTAGATTGTGGCACCAAAGGAGAGTAGGTTAATTGGTTTTTTACTGTGTACTTTCTCCAATGATATTTTAAGTATGTTTCTAGAGGATACTACAACATGTGTATTAATACTTAAAAATATGTCTGAAATCTATCTAAAGATTCCAGTTTAATGGGACTGGTCTCGGCTCAATAGCAATTCGAAGACAGACCCTTGATTTTTAGGTTAGTTGTTGACATTTTGGTATTTCAGATTAGACCCATTGCATATTGGGACTTGAACACACAGTAGTTTAGTTAGACCGCTGCAATATTATTGCAACACTACTCTAACCAGAATTTTTTTCAATTTTTTGGATCTCCAGCCTTGGTTGTTAGCCTTGCTTAACAAGATAGCTCCCCAATGAGGAATTTGATGGATCTCACACCTTGCTTCATGAGATCTACTCCCTAGTCCTATTCATCATAGCCTTGACCAAAATACTCCAGTGATACCAAAGAGCACTTTCTGACTGTCTCCATATCAGTTCTTCCTGATCTCCTAGAAAGTGCTATCTCCAAATAAATGAACTAGAATATTAGCTATGAACAAAATGCTTTGTGCTTTTTACCACTAAGCTTTAACCTCAAAAATGACTATTGCTTATACTGAGGCTGCTGAAAATAAAATCTCAGAACCTCTTCTATCCAACACAGAAATTTTGGGAGTATTTATTGTACAGATAGCACTATTCATCTGGCTAATTAGAAGGACCCTGTGCCACTATATGAATGCTCTAGTCTCTGAGACATGCTTTTTAGTAGAGCAGACTTGCAGTGGGAAGAACTCCTTAAAGATGTGTTCCCAGTGGTATCCATGAGACATCTTTCTTGAGAGCCCCTGCCCTATCTGAATTTTTTTATATTGCTTTAATTTTTAAGAATCAGTTTATGGACATTTATTCTCATTAATATTTCTACATCTCACAACGACTCCATAAAACATCTGAATGCTGGCACAAAGCTCTGTTTAGAAATACGTTCACTTTCTGAGAAAAAAAAATACAGTTCCAAAGCTGTGATGCTTCCAGGAAGTGGTAGAGAGGTCAGGGTGAATAAGGAGAGTATTTTCTTTGGACTATGTTTTGTACATTTCCTTGCCTCTTTTTAAAATATGTATATCAGTTTATTTTTCCTAACGTGATACATACTGTATATTGTTTGGATATGTCTATTTGTATTGCAGTATCATTCTTGGAATAACTTACAGTTAAACTGCAAGGGCTTTATCATACCAATGAAGTATTTTTCTTTAGGGTTATGGGTATTTAATGTATGATTATTAAATTATTAATAATAATGTTACTGTTTTCATCTTTTAAAGGGAATTTGGATTGTGACCTTTCTAGCTGTCCTTTGCCTTGGTCTGGATATTGGGTTAGGAATTTCTTTGGGATTTGCCTTTTTTATAATAAGTGTCAGATCTCACAGGTATTTCTCCTATCATATTGTTGTCTTACTCCCACATGAGAAGTTCTAATGTTAATGTTTACTGATCCTTCTACAGTAAGATAACTTGAACTTTAAGAAAAATATTTGATAATAATAATAACTTTGTAATAAAACCAAATACTCAATGAAATTTCCCTTCCACCAGCAAGCAGATAATAATCTGCCATCTGTTGGAAATGTTCTAATTCTGGATCTCTTTCATCAGATGGGGTAATAATATCAGTTGCCTAGTGCCATTCCTGTTCCATTTTTTTATCCAAATGATTTTAAGAGAGACCTCTTATATATGGTTTATATACTAACACACACTTCCTTAAAAATCTTGCGTGTTTGAAAACTTATTTGAAAAACTGACATTGATAATTCAATAAAATGACTTGAGAATAACTTATGTTAATACCTGATTTAGCTCTCTTACACTAGAAAGTTGAGAATATAGTATCCTTGTTTCCTCCCCTCCCAAATCCTTTCTTACATTTCATGCCCTACTTCTAAAACCTGCTTTTCTTCTCTCTCTGCTCTGTGGCTATATAAAAAATAGATGGAATTTATACAAAATGTTATCCCAGAACTTATTATTATATTTGCTCTAAGCTATTTTATTTTATGTTTAAAAAAACCCCATACCTTCCGAAAAGCATCCCATATATAATCCCATTTATATAAAACTAGAGCTGTAAAAACTGGACTGTGCTTGCATCTTTCCACCAAAGTTGTTAGGTGGGTTGCTTTAACTGCTAGATCCTTTCTGATTTGCTCACTATCGTCGGGGCCTTAGAGATGGAGCTTTTTGCTTGATTAGATAATGCAAGAGACATCTGCCTCAAAATGCTGGCTTTCCCTTATCCTTTGTGTTCTATAAAATGGACAAATCAGAGAACAAAGAAAAAGGGCAAAGTAAGCAAAGAACAAGGAAGACTTGCCTAAGAACATCTAAGTGGGATGCTCAGACACTTCTTCAGCTGCCCTTTCTATAATGAACTCTGAACATACAAAGGAAGTTGAAACCTAAAACCTTATTCGAAGTGGTAATAAGTGACTCCTTTAACTGATGAATGCTGCCTTCCTGTACTTTCCCTATATTTTCTTTTTCCAATATGTTCCTTTTTACACCTAGAAATCTGGCTCTGTTGGTAAATAAGTAGATTTCTCATTAAAATATAGTCCTAATGAACATCTGTGTGTTCCAAAACAGATACAGGTAGTCCTTGACTTACAATCATATCCAGAAAGCTGGTCGTAAGTTGTAAATTGACCAAAAGTAATTTTCCAGTCTTTTTTGTGATGGTTGTGGGCATTTTTTTTTTTTGCTGGAAACCATCATAAAGCATTGTGAGTAGCAGTCGCATCACCACACGTCGGGAGGATTGTAATGCTGACCCTCCCGACATGTGATCACATTATTGGGGCGCGGGCAGCACAGCCATTTATGAGGGCTGGAGATTGTTTACAGGCGATAATGCATCCATTCCATCACTGTCTGAACTTCAAACAGTCATAAATGATCAGTTGTAAATTGAGGACTACCTACCCAACGTTTTGTTATGTTTATGTTTTTCTCTAAGAAAAATATTTCAGACATATGTCTAGGGTGAGATAGGTTGGAAAATTTTGATCCATTGGTTTTATTATATTTCTAAGGAGAAAGTAGATCCAATATATATACCCTTGTTTCAGAATGAAGATGGTGATGTTGGGTCAGATTCCAAATACCAACATTTATCGCAGTTTCTCTGACTACAGTGAGGTAAGAGGGAGATAAAATATATACCTTTTTTGCTATAATCCTTTTCCATTACCACCATACCAACAGCGACAGGTCCAGATAAATTAATTTCAGAAATGATTGTGTCAGGCTCACCCTGAGACAGTGATGAACATTATTAGAAACTATTTTTACCTGCATTTCATGAAATGATACACATAATAATAGTTGACAGCCTCTGAGTGAGAAGGAAGAGTAGCTTAGAATTTACTATATCCAGGTGCATTTTAAACCTTTTGTACGATTTGAAGTCAAGACTTTGATTTCCTCTTATCTCCAAAGCTCATAATGTTCATTTATGACAGATGTTTGTGTATATTCTCTGCATTCCAGCTCTGCTATTCATGTAAGTCCATCAAGTTAAGTTGAGATTTTGTAGCCACTAACTGAGGCCTGACTCCTATTTTGTTAGGGCATTATATGTAATTATCAGGATTATGATTGTTAAAGAAGTATCACTTTTCATAAAGCAAAATCATTGGCATCCTGACTACCATACTGAAAAACATAACAGACTATAATTAATGGTTGTAATGTGCACAACTTCCCATCAACTTCTTAACCTAATATCAGCCATGAAAATATATTTTATTAATGTCAATTTATGCATTGTCTAAATGCTGCTTTATGTGCCTAAAAGTACCTGGTACTAGATTATGTTAAAAGTGAAAATTGATTTCTATACAAACTGCCATCTCAAGGCTCAAGGTTCATCATCCTTCCATCCTTCCGAGGTCAGTAAAATGAGGACCCAGATTGTTGGGTGTTCTGTACAAGTCCATTTACATACTCGTAGCCCCGCGTCGCGATTGGCTAAGGCGCGCGGCGACCGGATTGGTCGAGCGAGCCACACTGATTGGTCCGCTGCGAATCCCCCGCGATTGGTGGAAACTAATCGCGGGAGATTCGAAGCGGTGTCATTGGCCGCGACCGCCGCGGCTCGAGAATAAAAAGCCGCAGTTTTTCCCTTCAAGCTTAAGCTGTACCAGGAGCCAATAAAGAGCTGAAACCAAGTCACTGACTCCGAGCTTCCTTTCTCGACGGACACGACACTGGCGACGAAGGTGGGATCCAGAGAATAACCACCGAGCACGTGTCCCGAGGAAGACAAAGGACCGACGAGATGGCCAGCATGACCCCACCAGCACCCTTCAACCCCGCTACCGAGGACTGGGAATCGTACACGGATAGATTCCTGATGTTCCTCGAAAGTAGCAATTTGAAGGATGCGAACGGGCAGAAGAAAAGGGCCGTCTTCCTCACACACTGCGGGCCCGCAGTGTTTAAGATGGCCAAAGCCCTCGCGAAGCCAGAGGACGTGAAGGCGATGGACTGGGCCGATCTCGAGCCACTCCTTCGGAACCACTACGCCCCCGCGGTGCCCATCCTCATCCGGCGGGATGAGTTCTATCGGCGAAACCAGCGGCAGGACGAGAGCATTAGCGACTTTATAGCCGCCTTGCGAGACCTAGGGGGGATGTGCGAGTTCAGGGACCTGGACGATGTCCTCCGAGACCGCGTGGTCCTAGGCCTCAGGGATCAGGCACTAAAAAGTCGACTGATGGCGAAAGGCAACATCGACCTCGGGGACGCCCTGGCCGAAGCTTCCGCAGCCGAAGCCACCCGGAAGTCAGCAGCCAGACTTCGGAGGGCAGACAACGGGGACCACACTGAAACCCCCGAGACAAGCCGACGAGAAACCACCACACACCACGGGGACCTGGACTCCGCCTCCGATACCACGGACGGGGAGGAAGACGTCCACCGACTACAAACAGGACGGGACCGGCGAGATCAACGGGGTCGTAAGTCGGGGAACCAGTGCGCCGGGTGCGGGGGAAACCATTTTCGATCCGAGTGCCGTTTTATCGACGCGATCTGCCGGCAGTGCAACAAGAAGGGCCACATCGCCCGAGTCTGCCGACTCAAAAAGACACACAGCCCCCGCCGGCGAGAACCAAGCAACCGGGGACGAGACGACACCCCCCCGAGAACCAGAGATCGCCAAGCCGACTATCGCTGGAACCGAGACAACCGAGGACGACGGAGCGGGGAAGGCCGACAGAGAGAAGAAACCCACCAGACGGTCACCATCGGCCATGCCGAAACCACGGATGCCCGGAAGGTCTACGCGGAGGTGAGCATCGAGGGCGAACCATGCCGGATGGAGGTAGACTCCGGATCCTACCTCTCCATGGTCGCCTGGAAAGAACTCAAGCGCCTGGTGCCAAACATCCAGAAAAGAGGACTGGAGAACCAGAAACTGATCATCAAGGACTATCAGGGGAACCGCATCCCCGTCATTGGGACCGGACAGTTCGTGGTGACTTTCAAAAACCGCACCGCGAAACTTCCCCTGACTATCGTGGACCGGAACCGACCCAGCCTTTTAGGACTCCAATGGTTCGCGCCACTCGGGATCGAGGTCACGGGAGTAAACCACACCACAGAGGCCGACTGGGAGCAGCAGCTGGCGAGGGACTTCCAAGAAGTATTCGACGGCACACTAGGCAAGTACAAAGGGCCCCCTATCTCTTTTAGCCTAGACCCAAGTGTCGCCCCCATACGCCTAAAACCCAGACGGGTGCCTTTTGCACTCCGGAAGAAAATAGACGAGCAGATTGACAAACTCGTCAAACAGGGGGTTTTGCAGCCAATCGACCACGCCCGGTGGGAGACCCCTATAGTCACCCCAGTAAAACCAGATGGGTCAGTAAGGATCTGCGGGGACTATAAGGCCACCCTCAATTGCGCCCTGCAACAAAGCGCCTACCCCGTCCCAGTAGTGCAACACCTATTACACTCGCTGGGGGGGGGCAAGGTCTTTGCGAAGCTCGACCTGGCGCAAGCCTACCAGCAACTGCCGGTCGATGAAGAAACCGCCGAGGCGCAAACAATAGTCACCCACCGGGGAGCGTTTCGTTGTAACCGACTCCAGTTTGGAGTCAGCGTAGCCCCAGGAATTTTCCAGAGCCTCATGGAGAGACTGCTGCGAGGAATCAAGGGGGTGGTTCCCTATTTTGACGATGTATTGGTGTCAGCAGCCAACCAGGAGGAACTAGAGGGTCGCCTAAGGGAGGTACTAGAAAAATTCAAAGGGGCCGGGCTAAAGGTGAAGAAAGAGAAATGCCAGCTATACACAGAGCAAGTCGAGTTTCTGGGGTACCTCCTAGACCGACATGGCATCCACCCCACCGGAAGCAAGGTCAAAGCCATAAAGGAAGCCCCCACACCCAAGAACAAAACAGAGCTGCAGGCATTTCTGGGACTGCTAAATTTTTACAATGTGTTCTTGCCCCAAAAGGCGACCGCGGCGGAGCCTTTGCATAGGCTCCTGGACAGGACGGCCAAATGGACCTGGGGGAAACGGGAGGACACCGCATTCAAGAATACCAAAGACCTGCTCACCTCGGATGCCGTTCTCATTCAGTATAATGAGACCCTACCCATCGCCGTCACATGCGACGCCTCACCATTTGGCGTCGGCGCTGTCCTCAGCCATACACTCCCAGACGGAAAAGAAGCACCCATCGCTTTCTTTTCAAGAACACTCAGCAAACCCGAAAGAAACTACAGCCAATTAGATAAGGAGGCACTGGCCATCGTCGCAGCAGTAAAGAAGTTCCACGAGTACCTCTACGGCCGCCGATTCACCCTCATCACGGACCACAAGCCGCTGCTGGGCATCCTGGCGGGGAACAAGGCCACCCCGAACATCCTATCCCCCAGGATGACAAGGTGGTCTGAGTTCCTCGCCGCCTACGACTACCGGCTCACACACAGACCGGGTAAGACGATCTCCCATGCAGACGCGTTGAGCCGCTCGCCGCTTCCCGACCTCGACGACGATCCAGCTCCCACGACGACCACCCTCAGCATAGAGACATTGCCGGACCTACCCATAACCGCGTCAGACATTGCCCGAGAGACTAATAAAGACAAGCGTCTGGCGCGGGTATTACATTGGGTAGCAAAGGGATGGCCAGAGAAAGACAGCGATGATGCATTCAGGACATTCCGAAACCGGCAAACAGAACTGTCACTACAGAAAGGTTGTTTGTTATGGGGGGACAGGGTGGTCATACCGGAAAAACTGCAAGGGAAGGTATTACAATTATTACACGAAGGGCACCCGGGGATTGTGAGGACTAAAGCTTTAGCCAGAAGCTATGCTTGGTGGCCAGGTATGGACAAGGAGATCGAGGCCTGGGTAGCCAAGTGCTCGCGCTGCCAAGAAACCAGACCAAATCCCCCCGCAGCACCAATTTTAGAATGGGAAACGCCCAGGGGACCATGGTCGAGACTCCATATAGACTTTGCCGGGCCCACAAAAGGGAACACATTCCTCATCACGGTGGATGCTTACTCCAACTGGCTGGAGGTAAGCAACATGAAGACCACCACAACAGATGCAGTAACCAAGGTCTTAAACAAACTCTTCGCAACCCACGGTCTCCCGGATGTCATCGTGTCAGACAACGGACCCCAGTTCACCTCGCTGGAATTCGAAAGATTCCTAGCGGAACGAGGCATACGACACGCACTGACAGCGACGGCACATCCGGCGGCCAATGGTAGGGCAGAACGGATGGTTCAATTTACAAAAAGAACCCTCCAAAAGATCGAACACGGGGACATACAAGAAAAAATAAATAAAATGCTCCTAATACAACATATCACCCCTAACACAACGACTAACAAAAGCCCGGCAGAATTACTAATGGGGAGAAAACTAAGGTCACCACTCGACAGACTACACCCCACATACAACCCGGAAAAACCCCCGGACTCATCTAGCAAGCACCGGGTTTTTGCACCAGGCGACGCAGTCTATGCAAAAAACCTTACCGGAGACCCACTATGGGTACCGGCAACTATAACCCAACTGACAGGACCCCACTCCTACCGGCTACAGACAACCGACGGACAAACATGGAAACGCCACATCGATCAAATAAGATCAAGAACAAAAAACACAACCGACACGCAACCAAACACAGACGACACCGATAACACAAACCAAGAGGGGAGGGAAGACACAGAGGATCAAATAGGAAATAACCAGCAATACTCACCAGTCAACAGCCAGCCCGAAGTCTCACCAGGAAGGAACAGCCAGGCCAGCTCAACCAGCCCGGAAAGACCAGGCAGGAGCGGCGAAAGTCGCAGCTCGACCAACCCGGGTAGACCGGGAGGGAGCTGCAACAAGAGGCCCAGCAACACCTTCCAGGGGGTTCCATCGACAGGGCCAAGAGAAACAGAAGTCCCGACCGAACCGGCCGGGAACCAAACAACAACTAAGCTGCGCAAGTCAAGTAGACAAGTACGAAGCCCCGCCTACCTACGGGACTACGTTACGTAGGACCGAACCAAGAGGGGAGGGGTGTTCTGTACAAGTCCATTTACATACTCGTAGCCCCGCGTCGCG